TCTTGTATCTGGCCACTCTGGATGCTGATATTGAATTCCTTTGCCACGCTTTTCAAATCAGCATTCGACATCATCAGCATGTCGTTGTATCGGATGCCGTCAGGGCCTGGAGCAGTGCTGCGCGATTTCTTGAGGCAAGTTCTTAAGGTATCTGCAGTGATTGTGAGATCAGTGCCTAACACAGTGTTCTCGCACAGCATCGACAGTTTCATCTTAACCCCTATTCTTGCAGCTTCGTCTTTTTGGTCAGTTTGCTCCAATTAGCGCGCCAGAAGGGTTTTTCCTTTATCAGCATCAGTTCTCTGCCATATCAGGTCTGTACCCTGAAAATCAGGGATACCCCTAGGTCGTGCGGCGCCGTGCATGCTCCGTTGAAGGCGCCAGAATGTCACAAGAGATCCCTCGGAGCAAACGCTCTTGCAGAATTCGTTCCATTTCGCTGTCTTAGCTTCCTTCGCAATTACCTTGAAAGCCACTGTCTGCTTGTTGACCTCATCTTTCAGACTGATCAGGCGTTCAGAAAGTGACGGATCAATTTTCCTTGCATTTTGCCATGTATGTGGTAGGAGCAGATTTACTGACAGTCCTTACATATGTATGTGGTAGGAGCAGATGTACTGACAGTACTTACATATGTATGTGGTAGGAGCAGATGTACTGACAGTCCTTACATATGTATGTGGTAGCAGCAGATGTACTGACAGTCTTTACATATGTATGTGGTAGGAGCAGATGTACTGACAGTCCTTACATATGTATGAGGTAGAAGCAGATGTACTGACAGTCCTTACATATGTATGTGGTAGCAGCAGATGTACTGACAGTCTTTACATATGTATGTGGTAGGAGCAGATGTACTGACAGTCCTTACACCTGTATGAGGTAGAAGCAGATGTACTGACAGTTCTTACATATGTATGTGGAAGGCAAGGACTTCAGAAACAAATTGCCATTGGTTGTATTTATCATGTTTAGAGAGAGAGAAAGAGAGAGAAAGGGATAAAGAAAGAGAGAAAGATAGAGAGAGAGAGAAAGAGAGAGAAAAAGAGAGAGAGAGAGAAAGAGAGAGAGAAAGAGAGAGAGAAAGAGAGAAAGAGAGAGAAATAGAGAGGAGAAAGAGAGAGAGAGAAAGAGAGAGAGAAAGAGAAAGAGAGAAAAAGGGAGAAAGAGAGAGAACAAGAGAGAATGAGAGAGAGAAAGAGAGAGAGAGAAAGAGAGAAAGAGAAAGAGAGAGAGAGTGAAAGAGAGAGAGAGAGAGAGTTTATCCCAAAACCGACTTTTCTTGTCATCACCCTGTTGGATATGTGTGTGTTTGTCTGTCTGTCTGTGTATGTGTTTGTCTGTCTGTGTATGTGTATGTCTGTCTGTATGTGTATGTGTTTGTCTGTGTATGTGTTTGTCTGTATGTCTGTGTATGTGTTTGTCTGTCTGTGTATGTGTTTGTCTGTCTGTCTGTGTATGTGTTTGTCCCCCGAAACTGAATTATTGTCTCCATTATGTTTTCGATGTCTGCCTGTTTATGATTGTACCTACCCCTAGACCCTATCTTCCTCTCTTACCCTGGTGGATCTGTCTCACAATCTGGATGCAAGAACGCAGCATCGTTCACTGCCCCTCGAGCAGGAACTACCCCGGCAGAATAGACCACAATTTATGGGTAATAACTTGCTCTCCGTCCACGTCTGCCGATAGTTATCGATTCCCCGCTCCAGCGAACAGAGTTTCCGATCGATGAGGCCTGTTTGCCCAGCACACTTGTGTACTTTGGCTTGCTTTTTCTGGAGCCAGCAGCCCTCTAATGACCTGTTCAATGTGGGATGTTCTTGCTCAGCGATCTTGCTGTTTGTAAAGGCTTCAGTGCACCAACACAAGCCTGTCAGATAAGCTTGACAACAATTATTGAAATGTAAACAGTCGATAGTTGAGTTCTGACTGCGTACACTGCCTGCCATTAAATCGACACATAACTCAGAGAATACGCCTGTGTATATGATCCCACACACCAGGTGTCATCTTCACACTGGCTGGTGGCGGTAATAGATTTAGAATTTTAGTAGTTTTCCGTAATGGAGCTGACAAAGTGCCGTGTCAAGCAAGCTGATCTCGCGTGTTCAAATCTTCTCGGGGAAGATCAAACTTCACACATCATACGGTGTGCTCATTCCAGTTGATGGGTATGCCAGTTGGACTCTTCAATCCAGAAACACATTGGAGAATCCAGGCTTTTCTCTGCATAATATTACAGGGTCAACTGTTTATTTCCTGACTACACCGAGTGTCCAACCCTCTATGTACCACACACTCACTACACCTAGTGTCCAACCCTCTATTTGCCACACACCCACTACACCTAGTGTCCAGCCCTCTATGTACCACACACCCACTACACCTAGTGTCCAGCCCTCTATTTGCCACACACCCACTACATCTAGTGTCCAGCCCTCTATTTGCTACACACCCACTACACCTAGTGTCCAGCCCTCTATGTACCACACACCCACTACACCTAGTGTCCAGCCCTCTATTTGCTACACACCCACTACACCGAGTGTCCAACCCTCTATTTGCCACGCACCCACTACACCTACTGTCCAGCCCTCTATTTGCCACACAACCACTACACCGAGTGTCCAGCCCTCTATTTGGCACACACCCACTACACCTAGTGTCCAGCCCTCTATTAGCTACACACCCACTGCACCTAGTGTCCAGCCCTCTATTTGCCACACACCCACTACACCTAGTGTCCAGTCCTCTATGTACCACACACCCACTACACCTAGTGTCCAGCCCTCTATTTGCCACACACCCACTACACCGAGTGTCCAGCCCTCTATTTGCCACACACCCACTACATCTAGTGTCCAGCCCTCTATTTGCTACACACCCACTACACCTAGTGTCCAGCCCTCTATGTACCACACACCCACTACACCTAGTGTCCAGCCCTCTATTTGCTACACACCCACTAAACCGAGTGTCCAACCCTCTATTTGCCACACACCCACTACACCTACTGTCCAGCCCTCTATTTGCCACACACCCACTACACCGAGTGTCCAGCCCTCTATTTGGCACACACCCACTACACCTAGTGTCCAGCCCTCTATTAGCTACACACCCACTACACCTAGTGTCCAGCCCTCTATTTGCCACACACCCACTACACCTAGTGTCCAGTCCTCTATGTACCACACACCCACTACACCTAGTGTCCAGCCCTCTATTTGCCACACACCCACTACACCGAGTGTCCAGCCCTCTATTTGCCACACACCCACTACACCTAGTGTCCAGCCCTCTATTTGCCACACACCCACTACACCTAGTGTCCAGTCCTCTATGTACCACACACCCACTACACCGAGTGTCCAGCCCTCTATGTACCACACACCCACTACACCGAGTGTCCAGTCCTCTATGTACAACACACCCACTACACCTAGTGTCCAGTCCTCTATTTGCCACACACCCACTACACCTAGTGTCCAGCCCTCTATGTACCACACACCCACTACACCGAGTGTCCAGCCCTCTATGTACCACACACCCACTATACCGAGTGTCCAGCCCTCTATGTACTACACACCCACTACACCTAGTGTCCAGTCCTCTATGTACCACACACCCACTTCACCTAGTGTCCAGCCCTCTATGTACCACACATCCACTACACCGAGTGTCCAGCCCTCTATGTACCACAAACCCACTACACCGAGTGTCCAGCCCTCTATGTACCACACACCCACTACACCGAGTGTCCAGCCCTCTATGTACCACAAACCCACTACACCGAGTGTCCAGCCCTCTATGTACCACAAACCCACTACACCGAGTGTCCAGCCCTCTATGTACCACACACCCACTACACCGAGTGTCCAGCCCTCTATGTACCACACACCCACTACACCTAGTGTCCAGTCCTCTATGTACCACACACCCACTACACCTAGTGTCCAGTCCTCTATGTACCACACACCCACTACACCTAGTGTCCAGTCCTCTATGTACCACACACCCACTACACCGAGTGTCCAGCCCTCTATGTACCACACACCCACTACACCTAGTGTCCAGTCCTCTATGTACCACACACCCACTACACCGAGTGTCCAGTCCTCTATGTACCACACACCCACTACACCTAGTGTCCAGCCCTCTATGTACCACAAACCCACTACACCTAAAGAGTCTTTTACTTTTACAAGTTATTTCCATACTGGACATTGTGGTTGTGGGCAGAGAACGGTAAAGGACTGGATACTTGGGGACTGGTTATCTGAGGACTGGATACCTCGCGACTGTTTATCTGAGAACTGGATACTTGGCGACTGTTTATCCGTAGCCATCGACAGTTATACTAGTTTGGCTATGGTTTATCTAAGGACTTGATACTTGGGGACTGGTTATCTGAGGACTTGATACTTGGGGACTGTTTATCTAAGGACTTGATACTTGGGGACTGTTTATCTGTGGACTGGATACCTGGCGACTGTTTATCTGAGGACTGGATACCTGGGGCTGGTTATCTAAGGACTTGATACTTGGGGACTGTTTATCTTATGACTTGATACTTGGGGACTGTTTATCTAAGGACTTGGTACTTGGGCATGTTTATCTAAGGACTTGATGCTTGGTGACCGTTTATCTAAGGACTTGATACTTGGGGACTGTTTATCTGAGGACTTGATACTTGGGGACTCTTTATCAAAGGACTTGATACTTGGGGACTGTTTATCTAAGGACTTGATACTTGGGGACTGTTTATTTAAGGAGTTGCACTGAGAAAACATGCACGGGTGAAGGTCTGCGTCTCCATCCATGTTGTTGCTCTGGTCACTGCCATGACCTGCATGATGACTGTTTGGGACGGCATGCCTCTCGTTCAGTTTGTGCTTATTTTTATTTCTGGTGACTACAGCTGAGGAAGAGCGGAGATTGGATGAAGCCATGTGGAGAGCGGATGAAGCCATGTGGAGAGTGGATGAAGCCATGTGAAGAGTTGATGAAGCCATGTGGAGAGTGAATGAAGCCATGTGGAGAGTGGATGAAGCCATGTGGAGAGCGGATAAAGCCATGTGGAGAGCGGATGAAGCCATGTGGAGAGTGGATGAAGCCATGTGGAGAGTGGATGAAGCCATGTGGAGAGTGGATGAAGCCATGTGGAGAGTGGATGAAGCCATGTGGAGAGTGAATGAAGCCATGTGGAGAGTGGATGAAGCCATGTGGAGAGTGGATGAAGCCACGTGGAGAGTGAATGAAGTCATGTGCAGAGTGGATGAAGCCATGTGGAGAGCGGATGAAGCCATGTGGAGAGCGGATGAAGCCATGTGGAGAGTGGATGAAGTCATGTGGAGAGTGAATGAAGCCATGTGGAGAGTGGATGAAGTCATGTGGAGAGTGGATGAAGCCATGTGGAGAGTGGATGAAGTCATGTGGAGAGTAGATGAAGCCATGTGGAGAGTGAATGAAGCCATGTGGAGAGTGAATGAAGCCATGTGGAGAGTGGATGAAGCCATGTGGAGAGTGGATAAAGCCATGGGGAGAGTGGATAAGCCATGTGGAGAGGGGATGAAACCATGTGGAGAGTGGATGAAGCCATGTGGAGAGCGGATAAGCCATGGGGAGAGTGGATGAAGCTATGTGGAATGTGGATGAGGTCATGTGGAGAGAGGATAAAGCCATGTGGAGAGTGGATGAAGCCATGTGGAGAGTGGATGAAGCCACTTGTGGCAAGAAGTCTCGTGCTTATAGCTGTCTTGTGGCAAGAAGTCTCGTGCTTATAGCTGTTTTGTGGAAAGAAGTCTCGTGCTTATAGCTGTCTTGTGGCAAGAAGTCTCGTGCTTATAGCTGTCTTGTGGCAAGAAGTCTCGTGCTTATAGCTGTTTTGTGGAAAGATGTCTCGTGCTTATAGCTGTCTTGTGGCAAGAAGTCTCAAATAAAATGTCCAAGACATCACCACGAAGAAGAAGTCAACAGTAATGCACGCTGCGACAGGGGCGGGGACCGGAAACAGTTACACTCAATCCTGGTCTGGTCGAGTCTGTGTTGTTGGCAGCTGTTACTTCCGGTGACTTCATGCAAAATGGCGAATAAATATGAGCCCTTGTGTTGTTGAGTCTGTCCTCTGATAACAACATATTTACATGTCTCAGGCGTAACTGTTTATTGGTGCCCAGATGTACTTTTGTCTCAATACAGTAAACGTCTCTCCACTTCCCTGGCTTTCTCACGTCCTGTACAATCGCTTTCAGGCTCTATGGACCGAAGGAGCGTCTGTACGAGACATAAACACTAGACATTCATTTCTGAATTATCGACAACACTAAGCTCTTGTTTTTCTCCGTGTCGACAGATGAAGTGCTGGCCAGGAAGGATTACTTTGTAGTTTTCTCCAAGCCCCAGCGTCATCTAGTCAGCCATTGATTTGTCCCAGCCCACCAAACGCTCAGGATGGAAAACAGAAAAAGCCAGAGTGTTCACGGAGCAGGGCCGGGTTACCCGGGTCGTAGGTCCAGAGAAGAAAGGCGATCTCTATCTGAAAGTCTGTCGGACGGGACCTCCAAATTCTTCAGCTCAATGGTGGCCAAAAAGAACGGACTGTTTAATGACTTGTCCAGCAAAATCGAGAACACGTTTACTTCCAAACCGGAAGCAACGGCTAACAGTACTGGCGAACCGTCTTCCCCTCCTGCAACATCTGCTGCTCCCGCTACCCCACCACCAAGACCTCCTCCTCCAAAACGGCTGCCATCCATGGGGAGCTCTCGGGAGAAGGAAAACGTCATGAAGCGAATGGCCTCCATGCCTGCCTACAGCCGAACCGACAGCAAACCCGACTGTATACCCGACTCCAACCGGAACCAGTTCCGCAATCAGAAAGGAGCTGCTTCGGAAGAGCGGTTTTCTGTGAACGGGATGAATGTGAGCTTTGACGAGCCCATCTACAACAAGCGAGAATCCGTGCCCACTCAACCAGTCACTGATATCCCCGTCTCTGCAGATGTTTCCAGACAGCCTCAGGGTCTAGACGCCAGAGACTCTGCAGGCTCTGTTTCAGCAACCTCTCTGCCCAGGCCAGCTCCCAGGTTCCAGAAGTCAGGGGGCGATATAATTTCAACAACAGCTCCCTCTGTTGACCTCAGTCAGTCGATGACTGAGCAGCAGCGTGTGTGCAGTCAGGGCTGCAGTCAACCAAGGGGGGAGTTGAACTCCAGTGATCGTCAAATTGATACCAACAAGAGCACCCACGTTCAGAAAGCCAGACAACAGTCTGTGAACAACAACACAGTAATACATGGACGAAACTTCTCAGCTGATAATGGTAGAAGCAACACCAGCACGGACAGGAAGCCTGCTACAAACAGTGTCTCTTCAGACAAACAGGATAACCATTCGAACAAACAGAAAGCTCCCAAGTTCACCACCACTAAACGCAGGTCCAGCACGGTGGATGAGATCCTCTTCGATGACTATGTGGAGCCTGGGGTCGATGAAGTGATCTCTAAAGACGAGCCTCCCGAGAACCTCATCTCGTTCGAGCCAGATTCCGAGCTTGAGCTCAAGAGCAGCAGTTCAGAGTCGTCCCCCGAGGGAAACAGTCGGATCATGGGAGGGACAAGTGTCGACTCCTCGGACGTCGAATTCGGGGGAGCTCAGTTGCAGAGGTCTGCCTCTGTGGGATCCGAGAAGTCTTGGAGTTCCAACTACAGCGTCGACTCACAGCCCGATGACGTTACGCTTGAGTGCATGGAGTTTATGAAATCTTTTGTGGACAAGGTATTTCACAACAGGTGAGTTTGTGTCTGTTTTGTTTCGTTGCCACTTAGTTGACAAGTGTGAGTACGCAGCAAGCCCCTGCTTACCACAACAGATTGTCAGCCACGTTGTTTCATCGACTGAGGTCTCCTCCAGACTATAGTTCGTTCGACAACTCATAAACACTAGATCACAACGATTTTTTTTTTTTTTTTCATGCAGCCTTTAAATATTTATGACGTTAAGGAAATATTTTTTTCACTTAAAAAAAAAAAGAATATCATGTGAAGTTTTTTTCTTCTTTAAGATTATTATTTTTCATTTTAATTTCTTGTTAGACTTTTAGAAGATTTACTTTCATTAGTTTCAGGAAGTAATGCACTCTATGACTGGTTCAACAGTAGGTCCCAAAAAGTACGTAATTTCGTGACTTTTTCGTGCAAAGTCGCACTGTTAGTGACCTGACCACATGACATCGGTCAAGGTTCAGATGATGAGTGAGTGACGTCTACTGCTCAGATAATGTTTCAGTCTGTGACCTTCAGAGTTCAGATGATGTTTGAGACAGTGTCTTAGACTGCCCAGATAATGTTTGAGACAGTGTCGTTTATAAGCTGTGTGGGTTTACGTTTGTATGCGTCGGTGTGTGTGTGTTTGTATGGTTATTTGTGTATATCTGTTTGTGTCTGTATGTGTTTGGGTTGTATGCGTGTGTGTTTTAGAGCGTGTGACTTTGTGTATAAGTGTGTATGAGTGTGTGTGCGTGTTCGTATGTATGTGATGTATGTGTGTATTGGGTGCCTATGTGTGTAAGTGAGTGAATGGGTGTATGTGGGTGTGTGTGTTCGAGCGCGAGCGTGCGCACATGTTTTACCACCCATGCTTTTGTTATTGACTTGATATCCATAATATGCATATTATTACATGAACATAACATGCTTTATTGATGACATACAACTGCTGTGTGAAAGATGGGAGTATGGAAGGGTCGAATGTAAGACAGGCCTGAGTGCCTAATTTGTAACCCTTTGAAAATAAAGTTTGTTCGTATGTGTGTTAGACTGGATGTCGCTAAAATCTGTGTACGTATGTATAAATGTTGAAATGACTTTCTCTTGAATCTGTGTTAGTACTTTTGGGTGTTGCAATGCCTTTCCCTTGAACCTGTCTATGTATGTATGGATATTGCAATGCCTTTCTCTTGAACCTGTCTATGTATGTATGGATATTGCAATGCCTTTCTCTTGAACCTGTCTATGCGTGGGTGTTGCAATGCCTTTCTCTTAAACATGCCTATGTAAGTATGGGTGTTGCAATGCCTTTTTCTTGAACCTGTCTAAGTATGTATAGGTGTCGCAATGCCTTTTTCTTGAACCTGTCTATGTATGTATAGGTGTCGCAATGCCTTTTTCTTGAAACTGTCTATGTATGTATAGGTGTCGCAATGCCTTTCTCTTGAACCTGTCTATGTATGTATGGGTGTTGCAATGCCTTTCTCTTGAACTTGTCTATGTATGTATGGATATTGCAATGCCTTTCTCTTGAACCTTTCTATGTAAGTATGAGTGTTGCAATGCCTTTCTCTTGAACCTGTCTATGTATGTATGAGTGTTGCAGTGCCTTTCTCTTGAACCTGTCTATGTATGTATAGGTGTTGCAATGCCTATCTCTTGAGCCTGTCTAGGTATGTATGAGTGTTGCAATGCCTTTCTCTTGAACCTGTATATGTATGTATGGGTGTTGCAATGCCTATCTCTTGAACCTGTATATGTATGTATGGGAGTTGCAATGCCTTTCTCTTGAACCTGTCTATGTATGTGTGGGTGTGGCAATGCTTTTCTCTTGAACCTGTCTAGGTATGTATGAATGTTGCAATGCCTATCTCTTGAACCTGTCTATGTATGTATGTATGAGTGTTGCAATGCCTATCTCTTGAACCTGTCTATGTATGAATGAGTGTTGCAATGCCTATCTCTTGAACCTGTCTAGGTATGTATGAGTGTTGCAATGCCTAACTCTTGAACCTGTCTATGTATGTATAGGTGTCGCAATGCCTTTTTCTTGAACCTGTCTATGTATGTATAGGTGTCGCAATGCCTTTTTCTTGAACCTGTCTATGTATGTATAGGTGTCGCAATGCCTTTCTCTTGAACCTGTCTATGTATGTATGGGTTTTGCAATGCCTTTCTCTTGAACTTGTCTATGTATTTATGGATATTGCAATGCCTTTCTCTTGAACCTTTCTATGTAAGTATGAGTGTTGCAATGCCTTTCTCTTGAACCTGTCTATGTATGTATGAGTGTTGCAGTGCCTTTCTCTTGAACCTGTCTATGTATGTATAGGTGTTGCAATGCCTATCTCTTGAGCCTGTCTAGGTATGTATGAGTGTTGCAATGCCTTTCTCTTGAACCTGTATATGTATGTATGGGTGTTGCAATGCCTATCTCTTAAACCTGTATATGTATGTATGGGAGTTGCAATGCCTTTCTCTTGAACCTGTCTATGTATGTGTGGGTGTGGCAATGCCTTTCTCTTGAACTTGTCTATGTATTTATGGATATTGCAATGCCTTTCTCTTAAACCTTTCTATGTAAGTATGAGTGTTGCAATGCCTTTCTCTTGAACCTGTCTATGTATGTATGAGTGTTGCAGTGCCTTTCTCTTGAACCTGTCTATGTATGTATAGGTGTTGCAATGCCTATCTCTTGAGCCTGTCTAGGTATGTATGAGTGTTGCAATGCCTTTCTCTTGAACCTGTATATGTATGTATGGGTGTTGCAATGCCTATCTCTTGAACCTGTATATGTATGTATGGGAGTTGCAATGCCTTTCTCTTGAACCTGTCTATGTATGTATGAGTGTTGCAATGCCTATCTCTTGAACCTGTCTATGTATGAATGAGTGTTGCAATGCCTATCTCTTGAACCTGTCTAGGTATGTATGAGTGTTGCAATGCCTAACTCTTGAACCTGTCTATGTATGAATAGGTGTTGCAATGCCTTTCTCTTGAACCTGTCTATGTATGTATCTGTGTTGCAATGCCTTTCTCTTGAACCTGTCTATGTTTGTATGTATGAGTGACGGACTGCCTGTTGGTTGACACATAGACCCGTCTGTTAAACCCATCCCTCTACTGTCTGTCTGCTGGCTCTGATATCGATCTGCCTGATCTAATTGCGGAGATGCAATGTGTCCAGTCCTGACAGTCAGGCGATGGAGACACAGACAAAGAACCATAGCACGCACAGGACATGCACACAGCAGGCGCCATGGGAGACAACTGGAATGATATCAGAGTTGACAATAACATTTGGACGGAAGATCGACAAAACCTTGATGTGTTCGGACATGTCTCTCTTGTGTTTTTTAACTCCAAGTGGAATGCGTATCATAAAGATCTAGCTGACCCAGCAATACAGTGTTGAGCGCAGACGTGTGAGTGTGTGTGTGCGAGAGTGTGTGTGTGCGAGAGTGTGTGTGTGCGAGAGTGTGTGTGTGCCAGAGTGTGTGTGTGCCAGAGTGTGTGTGTGCCAGAGTGTGTGTGTGTGCCAGAGTGTGTGTGTTTATAAATATATATATATATATATATATATACATATATGTATATATAGTATGTGTGTGCGTGCGTGTGAGTGTGTGTGCGAGAGTGTGCGTGAGTTTGTTTATATATGTGCGCGTGCGTGTGTGTGTGACAGGAAGCAGGCGGAGAAATAAAAAACATTACCTGGAGATGTGATGGAGTCTCAACTGTCTCAACAATTACATCACTTAACTGTCTCAACAATTACATCACTTAACTGTCTCAACAATTACATCACTTAACTGTCTCAACAATTACATCACTTAACTGTCTCAACAATTACATCACTTAACTGTCTCAACAATTACATCACTTAACTGTCTCAACAATTACATCACTTAACTGTCTCAACAATTACATCACTTAACTGTCTCAACAATTACATCACTTAACTGTCTCAACAATTACATCACTTAACTGTCTCAACAATTACATCATTCTGTGTTTACCTGTGACAGATACTGGTCTGGTGGGGGAGGGGGGGGGAAACAGGGGTAGAGGGGTGAGCTTGTGAGAACAACGATGATTTGTGTGGGCCCTCTCCTGCCTTCTGTGAGCGTTGTTTATTTGTTGAATAGGATATTAACGACACTGCAGCGGTCGACCCTTTATTCTCTTAGTTCAATCACACAAACCTCCGTGTGGGTTCCAGGGTCACTTTGTGGGGGGGGGGGGGGAGACAGATGTCTAGAACCACTGTTCTATAACAAGCATGTCGTGAAAGGCAACTGATTAGGGATGTTTTCTTCAAAGTCACAGTGCTTTTGCCTGAGAGGCGAAGAACCAACAGTCTGCATACAGCTAAAAAAGCATATCTGTAAAACGGATGTACACGTACAACGCAAGTTCTAGAAGGAGACTATAGTCCAGCAATGAACAAAGAAGAGCAACTTTTGCTGGAGTGTTCAGCCGATGAACGCCAAGAAAAAAGAGAAGATTCTAACGAAATATCAAACTCTATTTGCAGAGGCTCACAAATTGGGCACACATGCCCGCCTCACTTTGGGCACACAGTTCCGCCTCACATTGGGCACACAGGCCCGCCTCATATTGGGCACACATGCCCGCCTCATAATGGGCACTCAGGCCCGCCTCATATTGGGCAAACAGGCCCGCCTCACATTTTGCACACATGCCCGCCTCATATTGGGCACACAGGCCCGCCTCACATTCGGAAAACAGGCCCGCATCACAATAATCACACAGGTCCGCCTCATATTGGGCACACATACAACGTAGACACACATGTGAGGCAGACGTACTGACTCAAACACTCACGCATATACACATTTACATGCATGGAAACGCATACACTGACAATACGCACTCTGACACAACATACGTTAATACACACACACAAACATACACAACGCATACATACAGACACAACGCGTACACAGGGAATAATACATATATAATACACATAGACAACGCACACAGACATAACACATATACAACACATATACACTTCATACCCTGGTATACGCATTTTAGAGACACAACACATACACGCAGACATAACACATACATACACAAGACACTATACTATAAAACACACATATACAACACATACACTATACAACACATACAGATACAAAATACACACAGACAGAATACCCACAAATATACAACATGTACGGATACAGACACATATACGCACACACACACACACACACACACACGTGCACATACGGACGCGGCACACACACTGACACAACACTTACTGACACACCTAGCAAACATGCGTTAATACAACACACAGAGAGACGAAACACGATCAGACATTAGTACACACACACAGGCAGGCACACACACGCGCGCTCGCACAAACACACGGACAGACACACACACACACAGAGGCAGACACACACACAGGCAGGCACACACACGCGCGCGCGCACAAACACACGGACAGACACACACACACACACACAGGCAGACACACACACAGGCAGACACACGTATGCACACAGGTACACACAGGCAGACACGCGTACACACACAGGTACACACAGGCAGACACACGTATACACACAGGTACACACAGGCAGACACACGTACACACACAGATTCATACAGTTAGACATACGTACACACAGATACGCACAGACAGACATACGTACACACACAGGTACACACAAGCAGACACACGTACACACACAGGTACATGCAGGTAGACACATGTACATACATAGGTACACACAGGCAGACACATGTACATACATAGGTACACACAGGCAGATACACATACACACACACAGGTACACACAGGCAGACACGCGTACACACACAGGTACAAAAAGACAGACACACGTACACACACAGGTACACACAGGCAGACACACGTACACACATAGGTATACACAGACAGACACACGTACACACACAGGTACATGCAGATAGACTCACGTAAACATTCAAATACACTACACACACAGAAGACAAACACGCAGACAGGCAGACGTGGCACAACACACACTGACATATATGCAGACACATTCTCCGAAAGAAGACTAATGCCCGAGTGGAGGTATCGGTGTGCAGTGCCGGTGATGTTTTACAGATAAGATCCAGTCCCTACAGAAATCGCCCAAGTCCAGCTGAGGCAGTTCCACTCCCTCAGAACCAAGAGGTTTATCTCTCCAAGAGAATGGACTATTGTCGCTGCTGCTACTACTTCTGCTGCTGGTGCTTTTACTAACCCCACCACCAACACAACCGCTACAACAACTCTTACTTCTTGCTGCACAACAACACAACCGCTACAACAACTCTTACTTCTAGCTGCACAACAACACAACCGCTACAACAACTCTTACTTCTAGCTGCACAACAACACAACCGCTACAACAACTCTTACTTCTAGCTGCACAATAACACAACCTCTACAACAAATCTTACTTCTAGCTGCACAATAACACAACCTCTACAACAACTCTTACTTCTAGCTGCACAACAACACAACCGCTGCAACAACTCTTACTTTTAGCTGCACAGCAACACAACCGCTGCAACAACTCTTACTTCTAGCTGCACAACAACACAGCTGCTACAACAACTCTTACTTTTAGCTGCACAGCAACACAACCGCTGCAACAACTCTTACTTCTAGCTGCACAACAACACAGCTGCTACAACAACTCTTACTTTTAGCTGCACAGCAACACAACCGCTGCAACAACTCTTACTTCTAGCTGCACAACCACAAAGATACTGCACCTGATGCTGCTATTATTATTATTAATATTATTATTATTATTTTCAGCGAGGATATTACACAAACAGAGAAGGCCAAGTTTGGTGAATTGTGTCAGGTAGGTTCGCTACAACAATGACATGTGAATGTGTCAGGTAGGTTCGCTACAACAATGACATGTGAGTGTGTCAGGTAGGTTCGCTACAACAATGACATCAGAGTGTGTCACGTAGGTTCGCTACAGCAATGACATGTGAGTGTGTCAGGTAGCTTCGCTACAACAATGACATGTGAGTGTGTCAGGTGGGTTCGCTACAACAATGACATGTGAATGTTTCAGGTAGGTTCGCTACAACAATGACATGTGAAAGTGTCAGGTAGGTTCGCTACAACAATGATATCTAAGTATGCATCTGTTTGTATCTTTTAGAAATGTCCTTACCGCCATTGTTCTGACCAAAAATAAAATAAAAACAACTTAAAATGAGTGACATTGACCTTGCCAAGTCAGACCCAACAATGATTGCCGAATCGATTGCAACATTCGTAAATAAGAGTATGGTGGCAAGACTGATTTATGGTGTTTTTCATCGCACCGCCACGTTTCGGTTAGTTGTATAAGCTCTTTATTTCTGTCTCTGACTTTACCTGCTAACACCATTACATTTAGTCGCATTTCTGGCAAAACTCTGGCGGATTTTTGTTGCGGATGACGTCATATTAAAGGGAAATGAGTAGAGAAGAGGACAAGGAGGAATGATGTAATGGCTGACCTTCATGAACTCTGCTTCGGAACTGGATACAGACCGGCTCAGCATCCATTACTATGCTAAATAGGCTCTCCCTGCTAGAAACTGGGCAGCGAAGAAAAAAACCCGCCATTTCACAGATTCCCACAATTCCAGTGTGATTACTATAAGCTTTGTCCTGATTGGCAGGCAGTTTATCCAGCTGGCAATTTTTTATGATCCACACACTTAAATTGATTGTGTGTTTATGATCCACACACTTAAATTGATTGTGTGTTTATGATCCACACACTTAAATTGATTGTGTGTTTATGATCCACACAGTTATATTGATTGTGTGTTTATGATCCACACAGTTATATTGATTGTGTGTTTATGATCCCCACAGTTAAATTGATTGTGTGTTTATAATCCACACAGTTATATTGATTGTGTGTTTATGATCCACACAGTTATATTGATTGTGTGTTTATGATCCACACAGTTATATTGATTGTGTGTTTATGATCCTCAGTTATATTGATTGTGTGTTTATGATCCCCACAGTTAAATTGATTGTGTGTTTATCATCCACACAGTTATACTGATTGTGTGTTTATGATCCACACAGTTATATTGATGTGTGTTTATGATCCCCACAGTTATATTGATTGTGTGTTTATGATCCACGCAGTTATACTGATTGTGTGTTTATAATCCACACAGTTATATTGATTGTGTGTTTATGATCCACACAATCATATTGATTGTGTGTTTTTTCTTGTCTAACGGACCACGCCGTGACAATGTTGTCGCTTTTTTCTACACATTGCCCACCATAGTTGCCGTGTTGCTTCCAGATTGCCCAGTCTTTCGGGGGGGGGGGGGGGGGGGTGACGTGGATGATTTGCCATGTCTGCCTTTAACCTGGGGCCACTTCGTTTAATTCCCCGAGCACACGTGAGGACCTACAACAGGGGAACACTGAGTTACACTTCCTGACACTAGCGGCTGGTGTATAGTAGGCACTGCAGAAATACAGCACCCCTTGTTTTCGCTCTGTATGATTGATAGTAGCGGCAGTTGTCTGATGTTTGACCTTGTCTCAGATGTAACATTGTCTGATGTTTGGCCTTGTCTCAATGTAACATTGTCTGATGTTTGGCCTTGTCTCAGTTGTAACATTGTCTGATGTTTGGCCTTGTCTCAGTTGTAACATTGTCTGATGTTTGGCCTTGTCTCAGTTGTAACATTGTCTGATGTTTGGTCTTGTCTCAGATGTAACATTGTCTGATGTTTGGCCTTGTCTCAGATGTAACATTGTCTGATGTTTGGCCTTGTCTCAGATGTAATATTGTCTGATGTTTGGCCTTGTCTCAGATGTAACATTGTCTGATGTTTGGCCTTGTCTCAGATGTAACATTGTCTGATGTTTGGCCTTGTCTCAGTTGTAACATTGTCTGATGTTTGGCCTTGTCTCAGTTGTAACATTGTCTGATGTTTGGCCTTGTCTCAGTTGTAACATTGTCTGATGTTTGGCCTTGTCTCAGTTGTAACATTGTCTGATGTTTGGCCTTGTCTCAGTTGTAACATTGTCTGATGTTTGGCCTTGTCTCAGTTGTAACATTGTCTGATGTTTGGCCTTGTCTCAGTTGTAACATTGTCTGATATTTGGCCTTGTCTCAGTTGTAACATTGTCTGATGTTTGGCCTTGTCTCAGTTATAACATTGTCTAATGTTTGACCTTGTCTGACATATTTCAGCATTTCCCCGGTAGGCTGTGGTTTTCTAGATATGTCAACTCTCAGGTGAGACTTGTATTTGTATCTGTTATGTTCTCTAAACATTGTAGATATGTTGTAAGTTAGCTCCTGTACGATAAGTGACCTAAAACTGCTATTACAGAACATCATTTTATTACTGTATTCCTTAGTGTGCACAGTTTAGCTTTCGCCCTTGCAGTCGTGGTGAGTCATCGTCTTAGGCAGCGTGACTGAGAAACTGACACTGTATGTGTGGGACATGAAAACTGACACTGTCTACAGCTGAGTGTGTGGGACGTGAACGTTGACACTGTCTACAGCTGAGTGTGTGGGACGTGAACCTTGACACTGTCTACAGCTGAGTGTGTGGGACGTGAACGTTGACACTGTCTACAGCTGAGTGTGTGGGACGTGAACGTTGACACTGTCTACAGCTGAGTGTGTGGGACGTGAACGTTGACACTGTCTACAGCTGAGTGTGTGGGACGTGAACCTTGACACTGTCTACAGCTGCATGAGACATGAACATTGACACTGTCAACAGCTGCGTGTGTGGGACATGAACATTGACACTGTCTACAGCTGCGTGTGTGGAACGTGAACGTTGACACTGTCTACAGCTGCGTGTGTGGGACGTGAACATTGACACTGTCTACAGCTGCGTGTGTGGGACGTGAACGTTGACACCGTCTAATGTTGCGAAGACATGAAACACGGACTCGATCAGACAATGGGGAAAAAATAAGATGCAAGCAGTGCATTTAATTTCCAGGAAGACATGAAGAATTAACAACAATAAACGTACAACAACACAAAGGAATTAGGCAGTCTTTGCAGAAAGCCACAAGAACATAATTTAGTTGGAGAAATCACATGTTCACAGTCGTTATTTATTTGCTTGTCCTCTAAACGATGTGGAGAAATCACATGTTCACAGTCGTTATTTATATGCTTGTCCTCTAAATGATGTGGAGAAATCACATGTTCACAGTCGTTATTTATATGCTTGTTCTCTAAATGATGTGGAGAAATCACATGTTCACAGTCGTTATTTATATGCTTGTCCTCTAAATGATGTGGAGAAATCACATGTTCACAGTCGTTTTTTAAATGCTTGTCCTCTAAATGATGTGGAGAAATCACATGTTCACATTCGTTATTTATATGCTTGTCCTCTAAATGATGTGGAGAAATCACATGTTCACAGTCGTTATTTATATGCTTGTCCTCTAAATGATGTGGAGAAATCACATGTTCACAGTCGTTATTTATATGCTTGTCCTCTAAATGATGTGGAGAAATGACATGTTCACAATCGTTATTTAAATGCTTGTCCTCTAAATGATGTGGAGAAATCACATGTTCACAGTCGTTTTTTAAATGCTTGTCCTCTAAACGATGTGGAGAAAGAAGGGCGATTGGGGAAGGAGGGGGGGGGGTAATGGGGGGGGGGAATAAATAGACAGTTTGATCGAATTCAATACTTGGGGGCAAAAAGATAGCTTGGGTCGTCGGTTGTGTGGGGTGACAACGTCGGTTGTGTGTGGTGACAACGTCGGTTGTGTGGGGTGACAACGTCGGTTGTGTGGGGTGACAACGTCGGTTGTGTGGGGTGACAACCTGTATTCCGTCACACTATACGACATCATACATGATGATGATTATCTTCTATCAACTTTGAACTTGAAACGACAGATATGGTTAGAATTGAACTCAAAGGACAACTCCAGCAGGCTATAAAACTTCACACAAACCACCAGGAGACTGTAAGCCTCATGATGAAACCAAGGGAAGGCAGATGATTGAGGTTTGGCGCAAACCAGAGATGAGTCAGATAGGATGAATGGAGAAATGGAAGGACAAGGTACGGATCGATGCTTGCAAGGCTGGAGGGTGTACAGCTAAAGAGGCAGGAGCAGTTCGATCAATCAGCTCTAGGCAGGGGCGCCCACATTTCAGTCCGTCAGTCCGCGAGTCCGTCAGCCTGTCTGCTCTCAATGAACAACCCGTGTAATCGTATTGATCCGTGCCTTTTCTTTAGGATGCTGCTGTAAGGACGTCATCAGTTGGACTTTTGTAATAACCTAATGGAAAATATGTGAAAATGGCGTCTGGAAGTCAGCACGACTTTCCATGCAACATTCTAGTTGTGATATCTCCCTCATTCTCTTGTGTGCAACATTCTAGTTGTGATATCTATTCCATTATCTTATGTGCAGCATTCTAATTGTAATTTCTCCTCCATTCTCTTATGTGCAATATTCTATTTGTAATATCTCCTCCACTCTCTTATGTGACATACAACATTCTATTTGCTATTCTCTTACATGCAACATTTTAGCTGTGATACTTCACCCATTCTCTTAATGGCAAAGTGTTAGGTGTGTTGTGTCCTCCATTTTCTCACATGCTATTTTATGGTTGTGAAACCTCACTTATTCTCTCATTCTCCACGTTCTAGTTGTGAAACCTTACTTATTCTCTCATTCTCCACATTCTAGTTCTGAAACCTCACTTATTCTCTCTGTCGTGGAACAGGTTCCTTTTACACTCACTAAAGTGGTGTTATCTTGTTAGAAACCGAGACAACTGTCTTTTGGCGCAAAGAGCAGACAGTGTCCCTGGATACTCAGATACAAACTCGAATTGGCTCGCTAAAGAAGGTGAGCTGCCTGAATATCCCCAGAAAAGGGATAAGGGAATTTAGATGCCTAACCACTTAGACAGAGCAGATTACCCCTCCCGACAATTTCCCTTTCTTGTCATTAAATTAAGCTCCCATCTAGAATATGTATATTGGTAGACAGCACTGACACCATACATACATCTAGAAATAAAATTAAACTTTAACTATGAATTTAAATCAATCATAGGAATGTTTATTAAAATTAAAGTAAAAGTCAATCATCTATTTACTTTTGGAAATACAATATTCAAACTAAGTAGGATGAAAGATAAAAATGATAGTCACATGAAACTGTCGTCGTGAGAGGATCAGTGGGAAATTACATACAACAATTACCACCTGGAGTTTCCCAGAGGATCATCCATTTCAAAGACTGAGGTGGAATGTCGGATCTGTCTCAAGCACCAAGATCTTCCTTAGGGCACTTTAATCATCAGCTACGACCAGCCTGGCAGTGGTTTGGAAGCTCGTCCTGCCACAAGGAATCTGTCCTCGGCTTTTCAGCAGCTGGATTTAGATGTAACTATATGGTCATGCTGCTAGGGTTTTTAGGCGGCGGGAAAGACAAAGTTCTGCCAAAACGGCCCTCTCTAACTCCTGCTAGCTACCCTGAAGTAAAAAATGGCTGGCCGTCTGCTCTCACAGCGGGATCCGGTGTTTGGCCAGGATTTTCCCGCTACGTTGCCGAGTTTGCTAGCCGTATATTTTTATACGTGAAAGCTCAGGGGAATTAAAAATAGGACAATGGAAAATCCCCAAACAGCAACCGTAGGCTATAACCGGGATATCTCTCAATGCGTCTTATGACGAAAATGAAGTCACTGGGCGCATGTAAGAGGGAAAAATAGAAGGGTCACAAAGGGGTGGTACGTCAGCCAAAAGTATCTTGTCTACTTGAAGCGGCGTCTCGCGACACTCTCATTCTCCACATTCTAGTTGTAACATCTCCTCAATTCTCCTAAAATCTGAGGGAAATAAAATCTGATTTTCAAACATTCGTTAGACTACACAGTGAATTTTTCATAAAATAACTGCTCAACATTTGGAAATCAGCTGAAACCGAATCTTGGAACAAATTCCAGACGGAAAGGCGGCGACATTTAGAGAATCTCTCGGAGATATGAGACAATGCGAGGAAGAGTAGATGGCGTGAGTCGCCTTGTTACAAGTTCGGATATTAGAAACACAAAAAGCGGATCTTGGGTCAATATAATCAGCCAGTGTTTATGTCAGTTTATAAACATGGTTCCAGAGATGACTTGACAGTCGACCGTCATCTGACTGGGTTGTCTGGAGCATGTCATGACAGACGCGGGAAGCAGATTCCAGGCAAATGCTGACTGAAGGAATCAGCCCGGTCTCTTGGACACACGAACATAGAGCAAGGCAAGCGCTAAACTCCCACTGCATGCGATCATCATCCGGTTTTGACAGGCTCGTGTTTGGGCGGCAACTATTGACCATGATGTTGACAAGCTCGTGTTTGGGCGGCAACTATTGACCATGATGTTGACAAGCTCGTGTTTGGGCGGCAACTATTAACCATGATGTTGACAGCTCCTGTTAGGGCGGCAACTATTGACCATGATGTTGACAGCTCCTGTTAGGGCGGCAACTATTGATCATGATGTTGACAGCTCCTGTTAGGGCGGCAACTATTGATCATGATGTTGACAGCTCCTGTTAGGGCGGCAACTATTGATCATGATGTTGACAGCTCCTGTTAGGGCGGCAACTATTGACCATGATGTTGACAGCTCCTGTTAGGGCGGCAACTATTGACCATGATGTTGACAGCTCCTGTTAGGGCGGCAACTATTGATCATGATGTTGACAGCCCCTGTTAGGGCGGCAACTATTGATCATGATGTTGACAGCTCCTGTTAGGGCAGCAACTATTGATCATGATGTTGACAGCTCCTGTTAGGGCGGCAACTACTGATCATGATGTTGACAGGCTCGTGTTTGGGCAGCAATTATTGACCATGATGTTGACAACTCCTGTTAGGGCGGCAACTATTGATCATGATGTTGACAGCTCCTGTTAGGGCGGCAACTATTGATCATGATGTTGACAGCTCCTGTTAGGGCGGCAACTATTGATCATGATGTTGACAGCTCCTGTTAGGGCAGCAACTATTGATCATGATGTTGACAGCTCCTGTTAGGGCGGCAACTATTGACCATGATGTTGACAGCTCGTGTTAGGGCGGCAACTATTGATCATGATGTTGACAGCTCCTGTTAGGGCAGCAACTATTGATCATGATGTTGACAGCTCGTGCTTGGGCGGCAACTATTGACCATGATGTTGACAGCTCCTGTTAGGGCAACAACTATTGATCATGATGTTGACAAGCTTGTGTTAGGGCGGCAACTATTGACCATGATGTTGACAGCTCGTGTTTGGGCGGCAACTATTGACCATGATGTTGACAATCTCGTTGTTTGGGCGACAACTATTGACCATGATGTTGACAAGCTCGTTGTTTGGGCGACAACTATTGACCATGATGTTGACAGCTCGTGTTTGGGCGACAACTATTGACCATGATGTTGACAAGCTCGTGTTTGAGCGACAACTATTGACCATGATGTTGACAGCTAGTGTTTGGGCGGCAACTATTGACCATGATGTTGACAGCTCGTGTTTAGGCGGCAACTATTGACCATGATGTTGACAGCTAGTGTTTGGGCGGCAACTATTGATCATGATGTTGACAAGCTCGTTGTTTGGGCGACAACTATTGACCATGATGTTGACAGCTCGTTGTTTGGGCGGCAACTATTGACCATGATGTTGACAGCTAGTGTTAGAGCGGCAACTATTAACCATGATGTTGACAGCTCGTTGTTTGGGCGGCAACTATTGATCATGATGCTGACAGCTCGTGTTCGGGCGACAACTATTGACCATAATGCTAACAGCTCATCGTCTGAAGCTCAATGTCGACTTCTAGCTGCCCTTTCCACTCCATGCCAACACACACATAATCGTAAATGGCGGACAAGAAAACTGGGGTCAAATGTCAGTCGAATATATTATTAACTCTCTCACTCCCTAAATATCTGCTGCAGAAATCAGCACCATGAAAAGCATCTGTGCTACGTTCGCAGGTACAAAATACACTGTATAGCAGTTGGGAATATCTGGCCAGATTTCTTTTGCATGCTTAGAATACGATACATTCACACGCATTGCCTTGTTTGGGACAAACAAATAACAACAACGATACATTCACACGCATTGCCTTGTTTGGGACAAACCGAGGACAACGATACATTCACACGCATTGCCATGTTTGGGACAAACCGAGAACAACAACGATACATTCCCACGCATTGGCATGTTTGGTACAAACAAAGAACAACAACGATACATTCACACGCATTGCTATGTTTGGAACAAACAAAGAACAACAACGATACATTCACACGCATTGCCATGTTTGGAACAAACAAAGAACAACAACGATACATTCCCACGCATTGCCATGTTTGGGACAAACCGAGAACGACAACTGATCAAACAAGGCTTGATGTTTGACACAGAAAATTGTCCTGTACCAGTACAACCTTGTTGCTGGAACCTGTGTGGGTGTTGTGTGCTCAGTATGGAGGATAGCTGGGACGCTCTAGACGGCGCATGTTGTGCTCAGAGTTCATGAACCGTTCGCAAGATGCCTCTTGTAAGTGGAGTTGTCGCTGCCGCACATGGGAGGCTGGTAGAGCTAGTGATGTGTCTACCAACAGAGACTTAAGCAAGTTCCAGTGGACCAAGAGGTGAAAAAAGACGCTGGCATTGGATAGGACACACACTGAGAAAACTGGAGAAAAATGTAACTAAAATGTCTTTACTCTGGAACCCGCAGGGTCATAAACAAAAGAAAGGCCAAAAATACAAGGAGAATGTAGCTAGAGAGTGACGGTAATAAGATGGGGAGGAGGGCGGGGGGGCATGGGGCGGGGGGGGGGGCATGGGGAGGGGGCGGGGGGCATGGGGAGGGGGCGGGGGGCATGGGGAGGGGGCGGGGGCATGGGGAGGGGGCGGGGGGAGAGCTGCATGCGATAGCGAAGGATAGAACGAATTGGCGTGAGTTGTTCGAGTACCTGTGCTCTACTGGGGGTTAGAGAGGCAGGAGAAGAAGAAGAAGAAGCTTGCTCGTAGTTTTATCAACTCCAAACTTACAGTTTTAAATCTTTCCTACATTCAAATGATTGAATAAAGGACCTTTGGCCACGCCTTCAGGCGTACTGGCCACACAGAGCGAGTCCTGTATTGTGGAGACCAACTGGGTGACTGGTGTGGTCAGCAACATCACACGGGCCGCTTTACTTCCCAGGACTTTACCTTGTAATCATTTCAGGCTGGGTCGACCTGTGAGCCGAGGTCTTTGTTTAATACAAACATGACAACACAATAACACAAACAGCAACAAACAAACAACTCTCACTTGGATTGTATCTGCCCTCAGAGAGTGCACAACAAGAAAGTCTCGGAGGCCATCTTCTTTCGTCTGATGCAGTATTTCGCCGTCTGCCTGTTCGAGTGCAACGAGGCCGAGGATTTCTCACCCGCTAAAACGCTAATGAATATGTGTTTCACCTTCTACCACGAAGGTAACTGATCTGTACTGCATTCTTACTGTCTCTACTCTCTGTTGTCTCTACTGTCTATTGTCTACCATGTGTTCTTACTGTCTCTACTGTCTATTGTCTACCATGTGTTCTTACTGTCTCTACTGTCTATTGTCTACCATGTGTTCTTACTGTCTCTACTGTCTATTGTCTACCATGTGTTCTTACTGTCTCTACTGTCTATTGTCTACCATGTGTTCTTACTGTCTCTACTGTCTATTGTCTACCATGTGTTCTTACTGTCTCTACTGTTTATTGTCTACAGTGTGTTCTTACTGTCTCTACTGTCTATTGTCTACCATGTGTTCTTACTGTCTCTACTGTCTATTGTCTACCATGTGTTCTTACTGTCTCTACTGTTTATTGTCTACCATGTATTTCATCTTCTACCACAAAGGTTTGTACGTGATTTGTACCGGTGTGATTCTCATCCTTGAGATTTTCATCCTACAGAATACAATTAGAGAAGGAAAACAATGACCAGCCATTAACCCCAGGTAGAGGCTGACTCTCTGCGAGGACTGTTTCTGAATCTCGTTGACACGCTACTTGAAACAAAAAACTGAGCATGGTGTTTCGCGGCATACGTCGGTTTCCTAGCAACCGTGGCGATATTCCTGGCTGATTTATGACCCGTGGTTTACGACCGGATATCCGGCAGCCATATGTTCACAACAGAACGTCGCCACGTTGATCAAATCTGCCGATGGCAATGTGCTGTGATTCTACTTATTGGCAATGATTGCCATCTGAACTCAATCATGGTTGGCGCAAGAATAATTGTAGCAGTTACGCAATAACCCAACAAATTATGAACATAATTGTTTAAACAAGTTGACCCAGTTCCTGCACAGATTTCCGTCCTATTGATACAATCCCCGATCAGTGTGGTCATAGCAGAGCGATTGTACTGTTTGGTGTAGCCATAGTATAGGAGTAGAGTGTCTGTACTGTCGAAGGTAGCCAGAGTATAAAAGTGTAATGTATGTACTCTCTGTGGTAGCCATAGTATAGGAGTATTATGTCTGTACTGTCTTTGGCAGCCAGAGTACAGGAGTATAGTATGTGTACTGTCTGTGGTAGCCAGAGTATAAGAGTATAATGTCTGTACTGTCTGTGGTAGCCAGAGTATAGGAGTATACTGTCTGTACTGTCTGTGGTAGCCAGAGTATAGGAGTATAATGTATGTACTGTCTGAGGTTGCCAGAGTACAGTAGTATAGTATCTGTACTGTCTGTGGTAGCCAGAGTATAGGAGTATAATGTCTGTACTGTCTGTGGTAGCCATAGTATAGGAGTATAATGCATGTACTGTCTTTTGTAGCCATAGTATTGAAGTAGAGTCTGTGTACTGTCTGAGGTAGCCAGAGTATAGGAATATAGTGTATGTACTGTCTGTGGTAGCCATAGTATAGGAGTATAATGCCTTTACTGTCTGTTGTAGCCATAGTATTGAATTAGAGTCTCTGTACTGTTTGAGGTAGCCAGAGTATAGGAGTATATTGTATGTACTGTCTGTGGTAGCCAGAGTATAAGAGTATAATGTCTGTACTGTCTGTGGTAGACAGAGTAAAATAGTATAATGTCTGTACTGTCTGTGGTGGCCATAGTATAGGAGTATAATGTCTGTACTGTCTGTGGTAGCCATAGTATAGGAGTATAATGTCTGTACTGTCTGTGGTAGCCAGAGTATAGGAGTATAGTGTCTCTACTGTCTGTGGTAGCCAGAGTATAAGAGCGTAATGTATGTACTGTTTGTGGTAGAAATAGAATAGGAGTATAATGTCTGTACTGTCTAAGGTAGCCAGAGTATAGGAGTATAATGTATGTACTCTCTGTGGTAGCCATAGTATAGGAGTATAATGTCTGTACTGTCTTTGGTAGCCAGAGTACAGGAGTATAGTATATGTACTGTCTGTGGTAGCCAGAGTATAAGAGTATAATGTATGTACTGTCTGTGGTAGCATGAGTATAGGAGTATAATGTCTGTACTGTCTGTGGTAGCCATAGTATAGGAGTAAATGAATGTATTGTCTGTGGTAGCAAGAGAATATGAGTAAAATGTCCCTACTGTCTGTGGTAGCCAGAGTATAGGAGTATATTGTATGTACTGTCTTTGGTAGCCAGAGTAAAAGGGTATAATGTCTGTACTGTCTAAGGTAGACATAATATAGTAGTATAGTGTCTGTACTGTCCCAGGTAGGAAAAATATAGGAATTTAGTGTCTGTACTGTCTGTGGTAGCCAGAGTAATAGGAGTATAATGTCTGTACTGTCTGTGGTAGCCAGAGTATAGGAGTAAAATGTATGTACTGTCTGTGGTAGCATGAGTATAGGAGTATAATGTCTGTACTGTCTAAAGTAGCCTGAATATAGGAGTATAGTGCCTTCACTGTCTAAGGTAGACATAGTATATGAGTATAGTGTCTGCACTGTCTAAAATAGACATAGTATAATGTCTTTACTGTCTAAGGTAGACATAGTATAATGTCTTTACTGTCTAAGGTAGACATAGTATAATGTCTTTACTGTCTGAGGTAGACATAGTATAATGTCTTTACTGTCTAAGGTAGACATAGTATAATGTCTTTACTGTCTAAGGTAGACATAGTATAATGTCTTTACTGTCTATGATAGACATAGTATAATGTCTTTACTGTCTAAGGTAGACATAGCAAAATGTTTTTACTGTCTAAGGTAGACATAGTATAATGTCTTTACTGTCTAAGGTAGACATAGTATAATGTCTTCACTGTCTAAGGTAGACATAGTATAATGTCTTCACTGTCTAAGGTAGACATAGTATAGTGTCTTCACTGTCTAAGGTAGACATAGTATAATGTCTTCACTGTCTAAGGTAGACATAGTATAATGTCTTTACTGTCTAAGGTAGACATAGTATAATGTCTTTACTGTCTAAGGTAGACATATTATAATGTCTTTAGTGTCTAAGGTAGACATAGTATAATGTCTTTACTGTCTAAGGTAGACATAGTATAATGTCTTTACTGTCTAAGGTAGACATAGTATAATGTCTTTACTGTCTAAGGTAGACATAGTATAATGTCTTTACTGTCTAAGGTAGACATAGTATAATGTCTTTACTGTCTAAGGTAGACATAGTATAATGTCTTTACTGTCTAAGGTAGACATAGTATAATATCTTTACTGTCTAAGGTAGACATAGTATAATATCTTTACTGTCTAAGGTAGACATAGTATAATGTCTTTACTGTCTAAGGTAGACATAGTATAATATCTTTACTGTCTAAGGTAGACATAGTATAATGTCTTTACTGTCTAAGGTAGACATAGTATAATGTCTTTACTGTCTAAGGTAGACATAGTATAGTGTCTTCACTGTCTAAGGTAGACATAGTATAATGTCTTTACTGTCTAAGGTAGACATAGTATAATGTCTTCACTGTCTAAGGCAGACATAGTATAATGTCTTTACTGTCTAAGGTAGACATAGTATAATGTCTTCACTGTCTAAGGTAGACATAGTATAGTGTCTTCACTGTCTAAGGCAGACATAGTATAATGTCTTCACTGTCTAAGGTAGACATAGTATAGTGTCTTCACTGTCTAGGGTAGACATAGTATAATGTCTTTACTGTCTAAGGTAGACATAGTATAATGTCTTTACTGTCTAAGGTAGACATAGTATAATGTCTTTACTGTCTAAGGTAGACATAGTATAATATCTTTACTGTCTAAGGTAGACATAGTATAATGTCTTTACTGTCTAAGGTAGACATAGTATAGTGTCTTTACTGTCTAAGGTAGACATATTATAATGTCTTTACTGTCTAAGGTAGACATAGTATAATGTCTTTACTGTCTAAGGTAGACATAGTATAATATCTTTACTGTCTAAGGTAGACATAGTATAATATCTTTACTGTCTAAGGTAGACATAGTATAATGTCTTTACTGTCTAAGGTAGACATAGTATAATGTCTTTACTGTCTAAGGTAGACATAGTATAATGTCTTTACTGTCTAAGGTAGACATAGTATAGTGTCTTCACTGTCTAAGGTAGACATAGTATAATGTCTTTACTGTCTAAGGTAGACATAGTATAATGTCTTCACTGTCTAAGGCAGACATAGTATAATGTCTTTACTGTCTAAGGTAGACATAGTATAGTGTCTTCACTGTCTAAGGCAGACATAGTATAATGTCTTCACTGTCTAAGGTAGACATAGTATAGTGTCTTCACTGTCTAAGGCAGACATAGTATAATGTCTTCACTGTCTAAGGTAGACATAGTATAGTGTCTTCACTGTCTAGGGTAGACATAGTATAATGTCTTTACTGTCTAAGGTAGACATAGTATAATGTCTTTACTGTCTAAGGTAGACATAGTATAATGTCTTCACTGTCTAAGGTAGACATAGTATAATGTCTTCACTGTCTAAGGCAGACATAGTATAATGGCTTTACTTATTATTGTTGTCATTTTTATTAAACTGTGGACTTTCTTACTGTCTATCACGAGACTACACTTGTCTGCCTGTGTGTGTGTATAGATATATATATGTTTGTGTGTATGTGTGTGTGATTTGTGGTTGTTTGTGTGTGTTTGTTTGTGTGTATGTGTGTGTATGTTTGTTAGTGTATGCTTGTGTGTGTGTATGTGTGTGTATGTTTGTTAGTGTATGCTTGTGTGTGTGTTGTATTGACGGTCTGCAAGATCGGACATCATACATCGAGTGTTGTTTGGACATGAATGTATGAAGCTACCACGATGTTCCCGTCTTGCTACAATGTTCCCATCTTGCCACAATGTTCCCGTCTTGCTACAATGTTCCCATCTTGCCACAATGTTCCCGTCTTGCTACAATGTTCACATCTTGCCACAATGTTCCCCTCTTGCTACAATGTTCACATCTTGCCACAATGTTCCCGTCTTGCTACAATGTTCACATCTTGCCACAATGTTCCCGTCTTGCTACAATGTTCCCATCTTGCCACAATGTTCCCGTCTTGCTACAATGTTCACATCTTGCCACAATGTTCCTATCTTGCCATAATGTTCCCATCTTGCCACAATTTTCCCATCTTGCCACAATGTTCCCGCCAAGCCACAATGTTCCTATCTTGCCACAATGTTCCTATCTTGCCATAATATTCCCATCTTGCCACAATGTTCCCATCTTGCTACAATGTTCACATCTTGCTACAATGTTCCTATCTTGCCATAATGTTCCCATCTTGCCACAATGTTCCTATCTTGCCATAATGTTCCCATCTTGCCACAATTTTCCCATCTTGCCACAATGTTCCCGCCAAGGCACAATGTTCCCATCTTGCCACAATGTTCCTGCCAAGCCACAATGTTCCCATCTTGCCACAATGTTCCCATCTTGCCACAATGTTCCCATCTTGCCACAATGTTCCCATCTTGCCACAATGTTCCCATCTTGCCACAATGTTCCCATCTTGCTACAATATTCCCATCTTGCCACAATGTTCCCGCCGAGCCACAATGTTCCCATCTTGTCACAATGTTCCCATCTTGCCACAATGTTCCCATCTTGCCACAATGTTCCCATCTTGCCACAATGTTCCTATCTTGCTACAATGTTCCCGTCGAGCCACAATGTTCCTATCTTGCCCAAAAATGTTCCCATCTTGCCCTTATGTTCCCACGGTGAAAGTTAGATTATGTATTGACTGTGGCAACTCTCTGACAGCCAGCACTGAGATATTGGCCAATTGTCCATGGAACGTGCCCACACACCGATGGAAGAACAGTATCGATTCTCTAACAACGGAGTGTCCGCTTCCCAGAAAACTTTGATTACAATTGCCGGTCCCCGTCATAAAGCGGACAACGGCATAGATCCATCATCGATGTATGGACCCAGCCATCGGCGCCTGGTCACGTCGATGTCTGGACCCGGTCATCGGCGCCTGGTCACGTCGATGTCTGGACCCGGTCATCGGCGCCTGGTCACGTCGATGTCTGGACCCGGTCATCGGCGCCTGGTCACGTCGATGTCTGGACCCGGTCATCGGCGCCTGGTCACGTCGATGTCTGGACCCGGTCATCGGCGCCTGGTCACGTCGATGTCTGGACCCGGTCATCGGCGCCTGGTCACGTCGATGTCTGGACCCGGTCATCGGCGCCTGGTCACGTCGATGTCTGGACCCGGTCATCGACGCCTGGTCACGTCGATGTCTGGACCCGGTCATCGGCGCCTGGTCACGTCGATGTCTGGACCCGGTCATCGGCGCCTGTTCACGTCGATGTCTGGACCCGGTCATCGGCGCCTGGTCACGTCGATGTCTGGACCCGGTCATCGGCGCCTGGTCACGTCGATGTCTGGACCCGGTCATCGACGCCTGGTCACGTCGATGTCTGGACCCGGTCATCGGCGCCTGGTCACGTCGATGTCTGGACCCGGTCATCGGCGCCTGGTCACGTCGATGTCTGGACCCGGTCATCGGCGCCTGGTCACGTCGATGTCTGGACCCGGTCATCGACGCCTGGTCACGTCGATGTCTGGACCCGGTCATCGGCGCCTGGTCACGTCGATGTCTGGACCCGGTCATCGGCGCCTGTTCACGTCGATGTATGGACCCAGCCATCGGCGCCTGGTCACGTCGATGTCTGCACCCGGCAATCGGCGCCCTGGTCACGTCGATGTCTGGACCCGGTCATCGGCGCCTGGTCACCTCGATGTCTGGACCTGGCATTCGGCGCCTGGTCACGTCGATGTCTGGACCCGTTGATGGCCATACTTTTTCGCCCTGTGGTCTACCCGGGTGGTGTCTGCCCGTACGTGGCTTGGAAACAACTGTTGTAGGGTGCTGTTGGTAGAAAGCGTGGCAGGGGTCGACTTCCGCGAAGATGGATCATCATCATCATCAATCAGCAAGTCCTTTACAGAACGTCGCTCTCCTCACGGCACACCTGAAAGTATCCCTTTCCTAGCCAGCTCTCCGGCCCTATGTGCTTTCAAATACCAACGTCTTGTGAAGATGGATACAGGACATTGAAGATGCATTGACATTGAAAGCACATAGGGCCGGAGAGCTGGCTAGGGAAAGGGATACTTTCAGGTGTGCCGTGAGGAGAGCCACGTTCTGTAAAGGACTTGATAATTGCTGATGTCTACAATAAAGACAACATAATAATAAACGACACACAACAGCGTGACGTTCCGGTCTCAGTTGTCCACCAAGACCAACAGAGACCCATGTCTGATTTGTGCACAGCTGGACTCTGTGAGCTCTGGACAATCAGCGTTGGTGTTTTTTTTTTAAACCACTAATGGCGGCCACCCCTCCTCCCCCCCCCCACACACACACATACATACGCAAACACACGCATACAAACACACACGCACGTATACACGCCACGAGGACAGACAGAGAGAGTTGACTGTGGTTGACTGTGGTGGCAGAGATGACAGTGGTATCGTTGTGCTGGTAGTGTCAGATGCAGTAGTTACGGTAGCTGTGTCAAACACAATAGTTGTGCAGTTAACGATGACGGTGAAGTGAACGATGACGGTGAAGTGAACGATGACGGTGAAGTGAACGATGACGGTGATATTAACGATAAGTGTGTTAAGATGGCGATAATCAATGATAATGATGTGAACAGTTGTAATGAGGATAAAGCTAACGACTCTCCTCTATCTGCAGCACCCTCGGCCCACGGACACACGGAGAAGGTGTTCCTCTACACGTACATGCGAGAGCAGCCCATCTGGCAATCACTGCGTTTCTGGAACGCCGCCTACTTCGACGCCGTCCAGGGTGAGAGATCCCGCCGACCCATGCCTACCAAGTAAGTGCGGATCTAGGCGACCCCTGTTCTCTAGTTGTGTGTAACAGTTACCAATACTACAGCATTCAGCATATCCTTTACAGAACGTCGCTCTCTTCACGGCACATCCGAAAGTCTCTCTTTCTCTAGCCACTTCTCCAGCCATGTGTGCTTTCATTGTCAATGCATCGTTGATTCTGTATCCACCTTCCCGGAGGTTGGAAACCGCACCCTCCATCGCGTTCTCTCCAAGTCATCGTGGCGCTTGCCATGTCCAACATACCCCAGCTTTAGAGAGAGGGTGCTGTTTAAAAAGCCAGTTCTGCTGGACGTTCACAGATGGGGATAAATTAAAGTTGTTCCAGTACAGATGTGTGTAGCTTGTCGGGTATGAGTATGGGGGTCAAGGGCAACAGATCGCAGGAACTTGCGAAGAAAAGATGTATTGCAGTCGCCAATATGAACAGCAGTAGCTAATAACGAGGGGCGTCTTAACGGCATTATGTGCCCCTGGGAAAACGTTGTGCTGGGGCCCCTATGACAAGCACTCACGAATAAAATGTAAATGGCGATAATATTAAATATATATTTACTTGACTGTCACTTTAACAAAACTAGAAAGGGACAGGGGTATAATTTCAGTTTTGTATTATACAGAATTATATATGTCGAAATATATTTTTATTTATAAAGTTAGTTGAGTATCCTTTACAGGACGTTGCAGAACCAACCTCAGCATTTTTTGGCTGTTGTAGTTTTCTTAGGCAAGTTTAAGTCCAGTAGTTTGCCATTGCATTCCTGGACGGTCGGCTTCTCGATACCACTGTCGAAACCAACGCAAGGCGCAAGGCCCTCAGCTGGGATCGAACCCGTAACCCCTGTATTACAAAGCGCGTTCGTAACGCCTAAGCCACCGACACAGACATTTTTATTCATAGCAAGTCATTTTAAATACACATTACTAGCTTGTGGCCTCTTCGCTCGTGGGGCCCAGGACATCACAGACTAGCTTGTGGTCTCTTCGCTCGTGGGGCCCAGGACATCACAGACTAGCTTGTGGTCTCTTCGCTCATGGGGCCCAGGACATCACAGACTAGCTTGTGGTCTCTTCGCTCGTGAGGCCCAGGACATCACAGACTAGCTTGTGGTCTCTTCGCTCGTGGGGCCCAGGACAGCCTTGCCAGTAATCAAATGTTTCCTGTTGGGACTGTACACCACTTTGGGCGCGTTGTAGGGCGTGAGTTTGGTGAGTTTGTGGGGGGGGGGGGGGGGGGGTTTGTGCCGGAATGATTAATTGCGCAGTGGCTGATTTAGTCACCATGAACTGCGAGGGTTCGGATTTTCCTCTTTGCCTTCGACAGAACAAACAAATATTTCCATACCTTACTGGTGATTGAAATCGGATCTGCTGCATCAGAGCCCCGTGTTGTAACCACTCAGCCAGTGCCTCCTCAACAGAATATTCTCAGGGTGCACATCACCAGTGCTGGTGTGGAAGACAAGAGAAGGCCACCACACAAAGTTGTCAAGAATATAGCCACAGAGCCAGATCGATAGTGGCCTCACATGTTCGCAAACTGTAGGCTGGTCCTCAGAGTCAACCACCAGGTGTAGCTGATGGCCTCACGTGTTCGCAAACTGTAGGCTGGCCCTCAGAGTCAGCCACCAGGTGTAGCTCATGGCCACCAATCTTCAGCACTGCCCGTGTCTTTTCCTGCTTGACCGTCTCAGACAAATGTTCCTCGATTTCGCCAGACCCCCCCCCCCCCTCAGGTTTGTCCCCCTTCCGGGACTACTGTCTCTAAGATTAACACCTCAGTGATGAGAATCAAACACGTAGAAATCCCAGGGACCCAGTTCAACTATAAAGCCTTAAAGCAGTTATAGCTAGGTTTTATATTTTGATCTCTTGATGTCTTCATCCCATTTGCTGTCAGCTTATCGCTGCTACATTTCCCGCCTGGTTTCTCAGACCGATAAGGTTTATACAAGTGTCAGGCTTTTTTTATAGGCTAAAATATTTTACCTGCAGCATTTCAACAATTTTCTTCAAGAACTCCCCCCCCCCCCCCCCCGCCCCCATATTCACAATCTCACTAGAACCTGTGTATGCGATTGTTTTCCATTCATCAAATATGACATTTTGTCATTGAATCCAAACGTCCACAGCCTCAGCTTGACCGTTTGCTGGTTGTCCAGGTTTTCTCTTACCCAACACTCGGTCTTTAATGCACAACACTTGTGGCCATTTCCATTTTTAATGGGTTGTTGATCCCTCTAGAGATAGGCGACAACATGGCGCCACACCGGAGTCATGCAGCGCTGTTTTTAGCGCTGGGTCAGACCAATTCATGAATACAATCATTGACAGTTTGAATGTGTGGTATTTGCCACTCTTCTTTATTTGTTTCATCTCTCCAGTTTCTGTGTCCCCCCCCCCCCCCCCTAAACAAATATTTTTTTTTAAAAAGGAGAAGAAGAAAAAGACAAATCAGCCATGTATACTTGAATTTATGGAGCCGAAGTGGCCGCAGATTAGTCGGCTTACTTCACAATATGGTTGCCTGTGTTCATCTCCTTGCGCTGTCTAAATTCTGTCTTCCCCGATTAGTGTGGGTCGAAGGTGGATCCAGCCTGATGAGTTGGCTACCGGATAACTGTCACAGTTGCCTCCAGGACATAGACGACCCAGAAAACAACCGGTTGTCCACTTCGTTATGTCTACGATCTGCGAAGGTGTAAGACATCACGTTCTTTTTCTTCTTGGTGTTTCACTGATACCAGATTGTTGCCCGGTGTCGCAGTTTTCTTTCAATTTCCTACATAATGTAAATGTGCATAACCCGCATCATTTCTCGCAGAAAAGACATACACATTTCTGTGATCTTTTTCTTGCCGTTGTCTGTCTTGTCTGGGGACAATGTTCTTAACATTCCTCCCACACACAACACCTGCACTTGCTGAAGTTTTGCTCTAGCTGCGTGACACGTCGTCCAGAATATTTCCGTGTGTAGCTTCACGAAAATATGTACCCTCATCAAGTAACTCACTTGGGTTCTGCCATCGCCATCAAATCTGTATGTCTTCCATCTGACAGCTGTGACGGCAACGAGACTGTGTCAGACGACAAGCAGTTTCAGGAGAACATCACATTTGGCCAACTAGGGTGAGATATTATTATTGTCATTATTATCATTATCTTGCTTTTAGTGATTACGTCATCAATTATGATAAACAACAGTTTTTATTTGGTAATTTGTATTCCCATAACTATGGTTTTGTTGCGCATGTTGGTCAGGGAGTTGAATGGCTTTTAAAGGCGAATGAAGACGAAGAACCTGAAGAAGATGAGAAGCATGAAAAAAAATAGAAAAAGAAGAAGCAGCAGCAGCAGCAGCCATCTTGTACAGTATATGCTCAGTAGTTCAGTTGCTAAGTGCTGAAGCTCATGCATGCTTGTATTCAGTTTGTTGAGGGGCCGCTAGTTCAATGGTTATGGAAAGATATAAAACTGAAAGAAAAGTAGATCAGGGAGCTTCACAGTATAACAAACACAAACAAAACGTGCAAGCTGCGGCTATAGAGTCTTCGATGGAAGTATGGTTAAGTGATGGAAGTATGGTTGAGTGATGGAAGTATGGTTGAGTGATAGAAGTATGGTTGAGTGATAGAAGTATGGTTGAGTGATGGAAGTTTGGTTGAGTGATGAAAGTATGGTTGAGTGATGGAAGTGTAGTTGAGTGATGGAAGTATGGTTGAGTGATGGAAGTGTAGTTGAGTCATGGAAGTATGCCTGAGTGATGGAAGTATGGTTGAGTGATGGAAGTGTAGTTGAGTGATGGAAGTATGGTTGTGTGATGGAAGTATGGTTGAGTGATGGAAGTATGGTTGTAATGGAAGAATGTTTGAGTGATGGAAGTATGGTTGAGTGATGGAAGTATGGTTGAGTGATGGAAGTATGGTTGCAATGGAAGTATGTTTGAGTGATGGAAGTATGATTGAGTGATGGAAGTATGGTTGAGTGATAGAAGTATGGTTGAGTGATGGAAGTATCATTGAGTGATGGAAGTATGGTTGAGTGATGGAAGTATGGTTGAGTGATGGAAGTATGGTTGAGTGATGGAAGTATTATTGAATGAAAAGCCCACCTTGTCACTGTTAGAAAAGTTGATAGCCTGGTGTACAATTTGCCCACTGCCACTTATTTCCTCAGCACCTTCGCCTGCAACATGAGAGCTTTTGGCCTCAGCAAAGACCTGTGCTTGGAGTTTATCAGGAAACAGTCCACCATTGCCAACCTCAGCAAAGGTATGAACACTTCTCTACTAATAATAAGTGCCACCTGGTCATGTTTGTTTTTTTAACTTTTTTTTTAAAAATTATTTGTCCCATCACCACTGAAATATGAAAAAGAGACATGAAACCAGTTGGCGTGTCCTCATTCGCCTGTTCATCGTTCTTCTCCTTGTCTTTCCCAGGGATCACAGACCATTATTCAACTCACTCCAACAGGTTTGTAGATTTGTCCAACATTTATTGGATTGCAGGGGTCCAGTTTTCTATCAAGATAAAGTCAAAAGTCTCACTCCAGCCATCTTAGGTCAGGCCAAGCTCTTGCTAGGTTACAGTGTTGCTATGATATTGTGTTGCTAGGTTGGTATTTCTATGTTACAGTGTGGCTTGGTTACAGCATTGCTAGGTTACAATGTTGCTGCTACAGTTGCTGTTACAGTGTTGCTATGTTACAGTGTTGCTAGGTTACAGTGTTGCTAGGTTACAGTGCTGCTTCTCCTAAGGTTGTGCTCACACGGGTAGGTCGTGGGTTATAATTAGAACACCCATACAAATGCAGTGAAGGTATTTTACAGATAGATGTGCGGTAGTCAACATATATTATTATTTGGGTGGGGGCTTAAAGGAGCTGTTGACCTGTTGTGTTTGGTTTACAACTGCAATATCTCTTCTTTTGGCTTAACTGATCCTGTTTGAGGAAACCTTTAATTAACTGCATTGTCCCACCTGCATGTTAAGGGGTGGTGGGTTGATTCCTTTCCCGGCCCAGATAGGACCTAGAACCCACATGGGGACATTCTCAGGTATCAGGTCGTTTACACAACTTTGCTGTCATCGCAGCCCACCAGCATAGCAGCCCGCCGGCATCGCAGCCCGCCTGCATCGCAGCCCGCCTGCATTGCAGCCCGCCTGCATGGCAACCCGCCTGCATCGTAGCCCACCTGCATCGTAGCCCACCTGCATCCCAGCCCACCTGCATCGCAGCCCGCCTGCATCGTAGCCCGCCTGAAAGACATTTGCTCTCTTGCCAGCTCTCCCACTTCATGCTCTTCTTTTGCTCCAAATGTCTTTCCTATCCTGTGCCCATATTCATTGTGGTTGGTTTCTGCCCCTCCTTCCTGGTACCACACCTTACAGGGAGACATACATCTGACTGTAGATTTGGAAAATGTCTAGTGGTAAACAGACTTTACCAATTCTTGTGTTAGTTATGGGAATTCATCAAGATTTTGAAACAGCAAGTAGCGTCAGATGTCATGGAACACATTATGTGATATATTTCAGTCTGTACACAGTTTATGAAGACAGATGATGCAAGTAGAGAAAGGAAGAAGGAGATGATCCTCGAGGCAGGAATTTGGACTGCAGAAATAACATACCCGTTATAGAAGTTCACTACAGATAAAATACTCAAACCTGTCCTTGGTATTTGATTGTTTCAGCCATTGCTAAAAATAAATGACCCGGTAGATGAAAGGTCAAGGCCCTTTGGGAGCAAATGAACAATGTTGCGACATGAAAAGATGATCATGGTCTGGAGAGAATTGTGTAAGATGACAAGGGGATGTGGTCCACACTCAATCCATAGTTCAGAATTGCAACTTTTTGCTGGCTGCTGAAGATGAGAAGGTAGTGCTTATGGAAATATCCTGAGTGTTGTGTCAATTCTTAACTCAAATCAGCCATTTTTTGTCACTGATCTGACTTGCCAGGAAGACTAGAGACCTGATTTTCAATTATAATACAGGCAAACTCAATTATAATACAGGCAAACTCAATTATAATACAGGCAAACTCAATTATAATACAGGCAAACTCAATTATAATACAGGCAAACTCAATTATAATACAGGCAAACTCAATTATAATACAGGCAAACTCAATTATAATACAGGCAAACTCAATTATAATACAGGCAAACTCAATTATAATACAGGCAAACTCAATTATAATACAGGCAAACTCAAACTTCTCCATCTGTAGATACAGCAGCAAACAATTGTCCGGAGAAAACATCCATTGTCATGTACATCATCAAGTTTTGTTTGTGTTTTGTTGTAGATAATTTGATTGTTCTTCATCCCATAGAAATTTTGTGGGTCCTTTTTCAGAGCAAGTGAAGATGCTGCGGGACAACATTGAGACAGTCAGAGACAACTGAACCTAAGTGGCCAGGTTTTGGGGTTATTTGTCTGTTAGTTCATGTAATGTAGACAGTGTAGAAGGCGATGGAGTCCGTTTTTTATTTTAGTTCACAGCCATTGTTGTACTAATCTGCCTTGCCAGGAACACTAGAGGCCAGACTTTTATCATAATACTGGCTAAAAAGAGCTGTTCCACATATACAATATTTGTTTTCCTGTGCCATGTATTTTACTAGTTCTTCCTTGATTGGTTGCTCCATTTCTGTCTGAATCTACTTGTCATCAAAGTTTGTAACAAAATAGTCCCTGACTTGCTTAAAATAGAAACATCTTAAAATCTGGAATGCTCTTAAGCACAAGCAAGTATTGATGAGTACATTATAGCTAATCATGTGCACTGATAGAGTAGCAACAGTAGACAACAAGGAAGAAGTCGATGGCAGAGAACACACACTAGTGCAGAGCTTCTCACAGCAGTGAGGCCCCCAGCAGTGAGGCCCCCAGCAGTGAGGCCCTCACTTGATTACCTCCCTGGGGCTCACACAGACTAACTAGCACATTTGCACATTTAAACTTTATATAATTCTATACTTCTAGAACATTATCACTATTATTTAGTGGAGAAAACAATGAATTATCACACTTTTAGAATGTTATCACTATTGCGGGGCTGTCCAGAATGTTGCGGGGCTGTCTAGAATGATGCGGGGCTGTCCAGAATGATGCGGGGCTGTCCAGAATGATGCGGGGCTGTCCAGAATGATGCGGGGCTGTCCAGAATGTTGCGGGGCTGTCCAGAATGTTACTGATATTCGGTGTGTTTTTTTAACTGAGGTATTGAGAGCTTTCAGACGACTCATAAATACGGGACAGAACGAGAAATTAAAAGTTTGAGAAGGTGGCTTAATGAAGGGGGAATTGGGGGAGGAGGGGGGGGGGAAGGCCAGAATAGGACAGGAAAAAAATGCATGTGAAATTCTTGAACAGCTGGTGTGACCTTGGACAGCTGGTGGACCTTGGACAGCTGGTGGACCTTGGACAGCTGGTGTGACCTTGGACAGCTGGTGGACCTTGGACAGCTGGTGTGACTTTACAGCTTTTATAAATCAGGAAAATAACACAGAGGCGTGCTATTCAAAGATTAAATCAGCTATTGCTGTCTGACAACAGTTGACCTTCTCTGTCCTCACTGTAAGGAGAGATCTCAGATCGGGAAACTTCCCATCAGCCACTAGGTAGCCCAGTATGGCACTGACAGATCACTAGGTAGCCCAGTATGGCACTAAAAGATGACTAGGTACCCAGTATGGCACTGACAGATGACTAGGTACCCAGTATGGCGCTGACAGATCACTAGGTAGCCTAGTATGGCGCTGACAGATCACTAGGTAGCCCAGTATGGCGCTGACAGATCACTAGGTAGCCCAGTATGGTGCTGACAGATCACTAGGTAGCCCAGTATGGTGCTGACAGATCACTAGGTAGCCCAGTATGGCACTGACAGATCACTAGGTAGCCCAGTATGGTGCTGACAGATCACTAGGTAGCCCAGTATGGTGCTGACAGATCACTAGGTAGCCCAGTATGGCGCTGACAGATCACTAGGTAGCCCAGTATGGCACTGACAGATCACTAGGTAGCCCTGTATGGCGCTGACAGATCACTAGGTAGCCCAGTATGGTGCTGACAGATCACTAGGTAGCCCTGTATGGCACTGACAGATCACTAGGTAGCCCTGTATGGCACTGACAGATCACTAGGTAGCCCTGTATGGCACTGACAGATCACTAGGTAGCCCTGTATGGCACTGACAGATCACTAGGTAGCCCAGTATGGCACTGAAAGATCACTAGGTAGCCCTGTATGGCACTGACAGATCACTAGGTAGCCCAGTATGGCACTGAAAGATCACTAGGTAGCCCAGTATGGCACTGAAAGATCACTAGGTAGCCCAGTATGGCGCTGACAGATCACTAGGTAGCCCAGTATGGCACTGAAAGATCACTAGGTAGCCCAGTATGGTGCTGACAGATCACTAGGTAGCCCAGTATGGTGCTGACAGATCACTAGGTAGCCCTGTATGGCACTGACAGATCACTAGGTAGCCTAGTATGGCACTGACAGATCACTAGGTAGCCCAGTATGGCACTGACAGATCACAGTATACTCACTGACAATAGTGGACAAACAACTTGATTAAAACAGATACATAAAAGCCAGAATATTCCCTCTAGCTGTCAGTTAAACACAAACTAGAGTGAATAATAATTTGATAAAGACTGGTCAGCAAAATGGAGAATTTCATTAGCAAAATTTGAAAGTGTGAAAAAAAAAAAGCTTGAACATTAAAGAAAGAGAACAATATGATCAAGAACAAAATGGGGGAGAGGTCAGGGAGAACAAGAGACAGCAAAGAAAACCCAAATTCACATAATATTTTGAGCAGAGAAAAAAAAAGAAATAAAATGTGAAATTGCAAGAATGTGTCAAAAACCGGACAGGAATGTTCAAGAAGAGAAAGACTGGCTTAGTAAATAGAAGAATGTGAAGAAATAAGAACTTGGTAGAAACAGTAATAGAGATGTGTAATGGTGCAAGTTTGCTCAAATAAAAGACAGAGAGAGCAGAAGCCACTGTACAGAACATGTTTTTGTGAGTGTAAAATGATTCAGTTTTTTAAAGCTGCTTTTGGATAAAGCGGATGGTCTCACATGGATAAATGGACGAGTCTGTTCTGTCCACATTGTTGTGACTATTACTGGTATTTGTTGAGATTTTAGAGAGCTGAGCTGCCACAGCTCCTGGATAAAGGAGCTACATCGTTGTATATAGGCTTGACCATCTCTGATTTTGTTGTTGTTGTTTTTTTTAATTTCCTCACCTGGCTTGAGAACTCATATCTTCAGATTGGACAGGTTACAGAAGTAACCAGTCAACCACTAAAACTCCCCAGTAATATCTACAGATCATCTGTGACAGTCAGTCCTCGAATTGTTCATCTGTTCATTGTGTCAAAACATCAACTTTCTACCAACTAAATTCTCAGTGTACAAGAGCTGTATTACGCCGGCCGTCTTTACTTCCCCAGGACAGCCCATCCTGGTACCCATTTGGAGCTGGGTCGACCTGCGACGTCCCATACCACGATAAAAATCTACACAGCCCACGCAGGTTTCGATCGTGGTACGTTGGATTACGAGTCAGACACACAACGCCTTAGCCACGGACGCCTCTACAAGTTGATATACTATAAAATATCTTTCTTATATTCCACTCTGTTATATCTATAAGGCACATCTCATTACCTGTGTGATATCATTTTCAATTAAAAATCAGTCAGAATTACTATCACAGACACCATAATTATGATTTGGAATTTATTAATTTAGCCAGTTTCTAGAACATGGGGACTTGAGTATGTACATTTGAGACCTGGTGTTCAGGTAATCCCAGACCATACCGAATGTCAGCCTCCTACATAGAAACAAGTGCATTTGACAGATAAATCTGTGTTTTAACACAACCAAGTGCTAGGGACACATCTAATGTGTCATGTACATATAAACTAGCATTTCATGTGTTAGTTTCATACGTTTGATGATTTCACTTCCTGTGTAGATTAAATCTATCACTGTGTGTTTGTCACTGATTTCCTATGTACATTAGATCTACTATTATATGTCTGTCCCAGATTTCCTGTGTAGATTAGATCTATCATTATGTATCTGTCACAGATTTCCTATGTAGATTAGATCTACTATTATGTATCTGGCACAGATTTCCTATGTAGATTAGATCTACTATAATGTGTCTGTCACAGATTTCCTATGTAGGTTAGATCTATCATTATGTATCTGTCACAGATTTCCTATGTAGATTAGATCTACTATAATGTGTCTGTCACAGATTTCCTATGTAGATTAGATCTACTATTATGTGTCTGTCACAGATTTCCTATGTAGGTTAGATCTATCATTATGTATCTGTCACAGATTTCCTATGTAGATTAGATCTACTATAATGTGTCTGTCACAGATTTCCTATGTAGATTAGATCTACTATTATGTGTCTGTCACAGATTTCCTATGTAGATTAGATCTATCATTATGTGTCTGTCACAGATTTCCTATGTAGATTAGATCTATCATTATGTGTCTGTCCCAGATTTCCTGTGTAGATTAGATCTACTATTATGTATCTGTCACAGATTTCCTATGTAGATTAGATCTACTATTATGTATCTGTCACAGATTTCCTATGTAGATTAGATCTACTATTATGTATCTGTCACAGATTTCCTATGTAGATTAGATCTATCATTATGTGTCTGTCACAGATTTCCTATGTAGATTAGATCTATCATTATGTGTCTGTCCCAGATTTCCTGTGTAGATTAGATCTATCATTATGTATCTGTCACAGATTTCCTATGTAGATTAGATCAACTATTATGTGTCTGTCACAGATTTCCTATGTAGATTAGATCTATCATTATGTGTCTGTCACAGATTTCCTATGTAGATTAGATCTACTATTATGTGTCTGTCACAGATTTCCTATGTAGATTAGATCTACTATTATGTGTCTGTCACAGATTTCCTATGTAGATTAGATCTACTATTATGTGTCTGTCACAGATTTCCTATGTAGATTAGATCTATCATTATGTGTCTGTCACAGATTTCCTATGTAGATTAGATCTACTATTATGTGTCTGTCACAGATTTCCTATGTAGATTAGATCTACTATTGTGTGTCCGTCACAGATTTTCTGTGTAGATTGAATCTACCATCATGTGTCTATCACAACATATTTAGTATGTAGATTAGATCTACCATCATGTGTCTGTCACAGATTTCCTTTGCAGATTGAATCTACATGGCATGTCTGTCACGGATTTCCTGTGTAGATTGAATCTACCATCATGTGTCTATCACAACATATTTCCTATGTAGATTAGATCTACCATCATGTGTCTGTCACAGATTTCCTGTGTAGATTGAATCTACATTGCAT